TATTAGCCATTTGGAAGCTCTAAACTTTATATAGTAAAATGTTTTTTTCAGCCCAACTTGGCCCCCCCCCCTCCCTCCCTATATCCGATTTTTTAATCCCGATTTCCCCTTGAGAGAAACTGATCCCAAGCTAATTCCAATACCGGATACCGGGCGAGACGCCAATACGCCGGATAAGGAAATTACCTCCTCAACGGATTTGAGGGCTTGTGACCTGTGACCATACAAATTGAACAAAATGAGATAGTATTCTCAATAGTACCAAGTACAACTCAAGCACATACTAAAGTAGTGCATAAGGTACGAGGGCAGGTCGATGTTGGCGCGGGCTGCCGCTCTCCACTGAGGCGCACTGCGTGGTACTTGCAGCTCGCCGCGGGGGTCATTGCATGGAAATCAAAAAAAAAAAAAAACCTTAACCTGGTTTGAACACAGCACCACGGGATAAAGTCACCAAAGCGCATTTGGATGCATGGTAACACAAAGTAAGAAACAGACCAGAGTGGTAGACCTCATTCTGATGTCGTGTGACTCGTGATACGGTTGGGTGTTGGTTGAGTGATCATTTCAGACTCAGCCCTCTTGGCAGTGGGTCGCAAAAGGCATTGTAGGCAGGGAGCAGAGGGGTTTCACAAGTGAGGATGTAGTGGAGAGAGATGAAGAATGATGTGGCGTTTGTTTTGCGTTGGTTAAGCAGCCAGGAATGCCGCTGATGCAATCGTTCGATCCGATTATCCCAAAAAAAAGGCAAAGGCGAAAAGTCTTGAGTGGCAGAATTCTGGAAACCCTAAAAACATCGAAATGTGAGGTGAAATGCAAAACGGCCTTGCGTACTGGCACAATGCCTTCGGTCTCAGGGATGACCAGAGTACAGCCAGAGTATGAAGTTGTATGGAAGTTAAGTAGTAAGACTAGACTTAGTACATGAAAGTTCGAGATGCGGAATCCGGATCGATGATCCGACTCAGAATTCCCCGGGCCGCAGGACCAAACAACCCGCTCCGGGTGATGCGGAACTATTCTGCTTGTCTGCAACGCCCATGTCCATGCCTGAAGGACATATATTTTCTTGGCTTTGCCAGGCTCCACTGACTGTGTCGTCTTTCCCGCCAAACTCACGTTGCCTGTCTGCTGGCGCTGGTCCTGGTCCGTCCATGGCTGTTTTGATAGATGAGCACTGTTTCAATGAGCACCAGTCGGCCTAACTTCAAGCCTCCGCCTGAGAACCTCGAGAGAATGATAATACTGCTTCTGATAACGACAATTTCATCAGGTGTAGTGCTACCGACGCTGAATGCATGCATATGGCTCGCTAAGGCGTCGATGTGCTGCTATCTCCTTTCTCAGATATGCAAGATTTCGCCGGCCCGCCCACAAAACAGTAGAAACAAACCTGGGACACCTGAACGCGGCGACCACACGTACTACACAGGCGTGAAGAATCCGCCGCTTCTGGCAAATTTCAGAATAGTAATCTACGAACCTGCTGTCCAGTCATCTTTCATTTGCGAAGGCTCTGATCACAAGGCCATCTAAGGCGACAGGCGTGCCTATGTCTTATTCCTAGCCAAGCTTCTGTATGTCTAGTGTCCTGCACGTTGCCTGTCTGTCGCTGGTGCATTCCGACCGTCTTGCTGATTTCGGGGTTTCTCTAAAATTGGGGCAGCTTGATTCGGGCCAGGCCTGCGTTTTCCGCGCTTCTCGCTGGTGTGTCTTGCATTCCAAGTGTCTTGTGTCGGTGGCACTAATTGGCGCCTGGCGCTTAGCGCTCAAGTCCAACATATCAAATGGTTCTTTCTCACTTCTGTCATGGATTTTTGATGCCAACACGTCCTACCATGTTCTGTGCCTGGCGTCTAGGTGAATTCCGAACCCCACTTCTCCCTACGCTCCAAAACTCGAATCCCAGGCATACGGCCACCGCGATGAACGGGAGGTGAGATAACATACCCAAAATATTTGCCTCGTTTTCAGAGTATGAGCAAATTCGCTGTGTTGTGTTATTCTTTCCTTCGCCTGGAAGTTGCTTGCCGATGGCTTCCCTATTTAAACGGCCAGGCAGGGAACCATCGACAAGGCGACTCGACCTCATCAAGCCATGCATTTCTCCAGCTACCCATTGCTTTCGCTCGTATTCCCAATCGCATGTGTGGCCACTCTCTATGAAGCGTTTGAAGATATCCCTCGATCCACTTTCGATTTCGTGATTGTGGGAGGTTGGCTCTCTTTTGCGTCATCAGGCTAGGCGCTGACTGCGTTTCAGCCGGGGCTGCAGGTAGCGTCCTTGCGAACCGCCTCTCTGAGAATCCAGGCACGTCGGTTCTCCTCCTCGAGGCCGGGCCCTCGCAAGTCCTTTGAAATTTTCCGGTATAATTTTCTAATGAGATCTCGGCTCAGAAATGTCGGTGTCCTCGACAGCATCATTCCCATGTTCCCTGCGCAGCTTAACCCGAATACACCTTACGACTGGAACTACACAACTACTCCTCAACCAGGTTTCAACGGCAGAAGTATCAACTACCGTTCGTTTCTTTTTCCCTGGACCACTGAAATCCACTAACCGTCTCGCATGTTGATAGCGAGGGGACATATGTTGGGCGGTTCAACCTCTGTCAGTAAGTGCATTTCTTGGTCGATATCTAGAGCTATCACACGAGGGCCCAGACTACATGGCTTACACTCGGGGAAGCTCTGAAGAATGGGACCGATACGCCAGACTCAGCGGAGATTCTGGCTGGTCCTGGGCTAACGTTCAAAAATATTTCAAGCTGGTGAATTTGCTTCGCAGTTCCGCAGTTCTTCATTTCATTTCCTCGGATAGAATGAGAAGTGGACCCCACCGGCAGATCTTCACAACACCACAGGCCAATACAACCCTCTCATTCACAGCTTGACGGGAATCAATTCTGTTAGTCTGCCCGGGTTCAGCCACTCGTTTGACTCCCGTATTATTGCCACCACCCAAGAGAAGCCGAGTGCCTTTCCGTTCAATCTTGACATGAATTCTGGGCGTCCTCTTGGTCTCGGTAAATTGTCCTGCGAAAGATACGGCATTTTCCTCATTTTTTGTCTTGTAGGATGGCTCCAAGCGACAATAGACGGTGGCCAACGGAGTAGTGCAGCGACGTCGTACCTCGGCCCCAACTTCATATCGCGGCCCAATCTCCATGTGCTAGTCAACTCGCGTGTGACGCAGATTGTCCAAACCGGAGTGGACCAAGGAAAACCTGCTTTTCGTTCAGTCGAATTCACCCAAAACAAAACAGGTGAGGAAGCATTCTCTTCATTTAATTTCACCGCTCATGAATTTACTAGGTCCTCGAACCATCGTTTCCGCCACAAAGGAAGTGATTCTGTCGGCTGGTTCAATTGGAACCCCCCAGATCCTTCTTCTCTCCGGCATCGGTGACGACAGTGACTTGTCCGCACTTGGAATAAAAACCATCCTCCATAATCCATCCGTCGGAAGTAACCTAACAGATCACTCACTCCTCACCAATATGTGGTATGCGAATTCCACGGGAACGTTTGACAACCTCAGCCGCAACGCCACGCTCGCCGCTGCCGCGGTGGCGCAATGGGAACAGACTCAAATGGGGCCGCTCGTGGACTCACCTCTCGCTCATCTCGTCTGGTCCCGCGTACCTGACGGCTCTTTTTCAATCCCGGACCCATCTGCAGGCCCGAATACCCCGCACTACGAGCTTTTGTTTGCGGTAAGTACCAAAGTCTCGGAAGAAATCTCGGAAACTGACTCCGAGAGTACAGAATGGCTGGGTCAGACTTGCGCCCATCCCAGCAACCGGGAACTTTATGACAATAGTGACTGCGGTTACTGCCCCCTCATCTCGTACGTTCCTTAGTTCCATGACCCTAGTAAGAGGTCTCATGCAGAGTCTTTAGGCGGAAAGCTCACTCTTAAATCCTCGAATCCATTCGACCAGCCCAACATTAATCCGAACTTGCTTGGAACTGATTTCGATCTCTTTGTTATGACCGAGGCAGTCGGCGCAGCCAGAAGTTTCCTGAGCGCCGACGCCTGGAAAGGCTATGTTATTGGAGAGTATGACGATCTTGCCGCAGCTACAGACGCCGCAAAGCTCAAGGCGTATATCCAACTGAATTCGGGAACGGTATTCCACCCTGTCGGAACGGCCAGCATGTCGCCAAAGGGTGCTAGCTTCGGTGTAGTGGATCCAGACCTCGTTGTGAAAGGCATTTCTGGGCTGCGGATCGCCGACGCGTCTATATTGGTGAATTGTTCTCGTCACTTGGTTTAATGAAGCTCACCGCGTTCAATTATGCAGCCCATTGTGCCTTCAGCCCATACGCAAGTCCCCGTGTATATTGTAGGTGAACGCGCAGCCGATCTCGTCAAAATCGCGTATGGGTTGAACTGATCTTCCCAATTGTACATGAATTGAATAAATCTTTGCCATTGCCGGGACATAGGCTTGCATGTGAAGCACGAGGATGCACTTGAGATGGTGGCTAGAGACATGAAATCTCATCGCGGTGTTGGATCAGCCACTCATTCTTCGTATTTTTGTCGAAGTTCGACAAAATGGTGTGCAGCACATCTTTCCGGTCCTTTTTCTCCATCCAAATAAGTATCTGATGGCCCACCAAGGACGAAAATCGGGCATGATGTACACCGCCTCCTCCGGTCGGGCGGATGAATTCAACCTGGACTCAGTCAAATGAATTCAACTTAGGTTTGAATCAATCAATGCAGCAATGCTCTCGTTGCCCGGCAATATAGGCTTTTAGGTTCCCTTCCCGGCTAATGTTTTCCCTCAATTAATCCAGACTCCTTGTACCAGTATGAGGCGATATTTTTTGAACATTTCATTATTTTCCATCTCGTGTGCCACAATTACACACGCCCGGGGTACAGTTGGTGTTGCTTTTACTCCTTGAAGTAATCCTTCAGCGGTCGGACTCGAATCATCAACATCGAATTTTCGGTCGTAGTGAACTCAACGTCGAATGTGTGTAACTCGGACATGGTGTACGGTGCACCGCCTCCTCAACTGTTGATTGCGCGTTCCGAAGTTATTAAGCAGAGGCTGCCCGGGGTTCGACTCCCCGTGTCCGAATAGAATACTTTTGCAGTTATCACTGTTTCTTTATTGGAAAGAAGGTAAGTACCAAATTTTAAAGGTTCAATCAACGGAATCCAGAATTTTAGACTTCGTCTTGTTCACGTTTGTTGCTCTATGCTATTGTATACGGCCTCTTCAGCTTACCCCGCCTGAACGAATTTCCGTTCCCTTTCCCGTTTTTTGAATCGGAGCTATGAAATTGAAATAAAACGGGTTGAAGGTTGTGTATGTTTCGTGTTGATGAGGTTCATGCGCGGGTTTGCTTTGAACCATGGCTGAAGAAATCATCAATCAAATTGGTCCACTTATTCTCACTTGAGCAATAAAAAACGATCTTTGTTCGCCCCAGCGCATTTAGTTCTCAGATCTGAGATATGAGCATTCAAACAATTTCCACGCTCAGAACCTAGTACAGTCTGTACAGAATACGAATTCAAATTGTACCCGACGCCCATTCGAAACGATATTGATCAAATCTCAGTTTATGAGAACTCTGACCAGACCGTATGGTCAGCATAACATCCTGTTTGAAAGATGGCAGAAAGACACACTCAAAAACCCAGTCTATGGACGCGGGGACAAGATTGGAGCCGCTGGGGATGACATATCCGCCAGTGTCGCCATTGATTATACAACTGCTATCGATATTTGCGGCGAGCACCTCCTGTCATGCGCATTGAGCATGTCTTCGCTAAGGAACGGTAGAAAGAAAATGGCATACCGCGAGTCCTGTATAGCAGTATTCCAGATATGCGCCGCCCACCGGGTTCTCGTTGATCCACGCGAACAAACACGTCCCAAGGGAGAACTCTTGCACGAACTGGGGCTCCACAGTGAACAGCTCCTCGTAGTTAGTCCCATAGGTTGCGGTGATCGCGTTCGCAAGCGCAACACAGTCAGTGTAAAGTGGGCCTTCGCCTTCGCCGACCACGCATGTATATGTCTGCGTCTCTGTGGAAGGGCTTTGAGTTTCCCGCTAGAGCATGGTGGATGAAGAGGCAACTTGCCACCGGAGGCACATGAGTTGTACTGTCTCTTTTGCACAGCGCGGGGAGCGCTGTCGCTGGCCAGAACATCTGCGGAGCAGGCCTTGGTAGAGACCTGGAATTCGTGTGCACCGGCAGTGATGGTGTGAGTCTCAACCAGGACGCGATCGCTGGCGGGACACGTCGATATATGTGCGCCCCGTGCTGAATTCCGAAAAGTAAGTAAATAGCTATCGCAGACAGTGAAAATTAGTACGAACCAGGGATGGTCGAGGACACGGCCACAGAAGCAAGGGAGAGTAAGGCAACCAGTGTAGTAGACGCTTTCATGGCGAAGGATGTCTTCCTGGGTTGACTGGGTTGAAGCGAGAAATTAGCTGCCTTTATACAAAATCCAGGCGCACGTACTAACATCGGGTCAAGACTTCCGGGCAGCTGCCAGATTATAAACACGCCCGGTGGACGTGTTTGACAGTGAGATAGTACCTGCGCAGCGCTCGAGGCAGGGCTCGGCTCCTCCGTCTCCGAGAAGATATCGGTTTGCGTACTTTGTCGCAATCCCAAGTCACACTTTTCAGACACGAGGCATTCCAGCGGCCAGCACTGCAGCAAAGTTAACACTCGAGTTCCACTTACTCCATCGATTGCGAAGAAGGTCCCGCATTAGCCGGGTCATGCCATGGCGGAAAGTGTCGCCGAAATATTGATTCCTCCGTTTGGATGTGAGCAGCGCGGGCTGCAACTTGGCTGCAACATTCCGAGTATCAAACGGGAGGGTAGCCGAGCGTATGAGAATCAAGATGTTATTTGCCAGGCACCAGTCGTTGAATGGCAAAGGAAAGCCAAGAAGTTGCCCCAAGGTTTTCTTCGGCCAGCCACTTGAAGGAGCTCACTGGGAGTTACCCGACTGGATCAGTATTTTAGCTTGACAGACTTCCTTGTTGGTTCCTCCTGAACCGAGGGATGCGCTGTCAAGTATATCACTGTATGGAGCTGGATGATCATGCAGCCTCAAGGCCAGACAGATGGAGTAGAACCTGGGTATAAGTTTAACCCACGCAAATCGCGCCGAGTCTAGAAATCACATCCAGCTGCACTGGGACGTGTCTGGTTGAATATCAATGTGTTGGGTCCTTGCCGGAAGAAGTCAAAGAAAAAAAACAGTAAGTGATCGATGATCACTATAACATGCATCATTTCAGAACCGACCTGACAGATTGAAGAAAAGCGGAACATGCGCCGTGCAGCGTGACCACGCGGCTCTGAGTGTTTTGGGGTTTGAGCGCTTCATCTAACTCGGAGCTTATGGTGGAGGAATCCAAGAGGAATCGTTCGATTTTGGTTGGGTTGCTATTTATGATGCATATCCCCAAATACAAGCGACGGGCAGCGGCCCGGGCTTCGCTGCAGATCAATCGCCGTCTCGATACTCCTCGTGTACCGGCAGGTTTCCCCGTGAACCCTCAAACGCAGCGGCCTGGAGGCTTCGCCAATTTCCCTGGGGCTATGCTAGAAAGTAACTCAGACATGGCGTATGACACACAGCTGTCGGCCTCTGGCTATGCAAATACTCGTTGCGATCTTCAACTAGAGGCTGCCCGGGGGTCGACTCCGTGTGCGAAACTTATGATCCTCTAAAAATTATTTGGTTGAATAAAGTGGTTTTTCAAGTCTGAGTGCACGGATATATGGACGTCGATATAAAAAATTCAACCATCTTTGGTTGGCAGTTTAATTTCTGAATTACTACCAGTCCGAGGTTTGACTTTCCGTGTGTCCAAATAGCGGAGCTGCAAATATTGCGCTAGTTGGGGTTAGACACCGTAACCGTGAACAGTAAAGCACGGTGGTCCGTAGGGCCGCGCAGCCGTTACGGCCGCGTTCACTACTACGGCGGGATCATGATTGCCGCTTGATCCGCCACAAAATCAATTGACGGCCGTCCCTCGGACTGTAACAATATCACCGTATGCTAAGTTTCACAGTTGTGAACCGCTCAGCCGTATACGGCACGGTGTCCAGCCTTACTCTTAGTATTTTCCGCTAGATACTTCCAAGACACTGCATGTGGGGGATTGGAAGCCTCAGAAAATTGGACAGAATCAATCAAACGTTGGATGACTATTTTCGCACATACACCAGTCCGAGCCTACTGATTAACTTAGCAATGCCACAATGGTAGGGAATAAATCGGATATGGTGTACGGTACACCGCCTTTGTATCTGAGCACGCAGATAGCAAAGAAGTTTCCAGATCGGGGTTCGATCCCTCGTGTCCGAATGCGAATAGTATAAGGGCCAAGGCTTTTATTTTTGGGAAAGGAAATACAACGAATGGTGGTCATCCTTCAGCCGGCTAGAGTTATGCACAGGGTTTGTTTGTTTTCCAACTCACCCTTGAGGCATCAGACTCCAATATCAACCACCAACACCAAAGTTGGTGAACTAGTGTTTTTGGTTCAGCTGAATATTTACTTGAGCAATTGCACAACATCGGACATGGTGTACGGTACACGGCCTCTTCAGCTAAGTATGCTGTTAGCGTGTTTAGCTCAAGAGGCAGTACGAGGTTCGACTCCTCGTGTCCAAATAAATACGATTTTTCTTTTTCAAAGATTTAAAATGCACTGGGCTTCAACCGTGTTCGCAAGGTTATCTCCTTCAATTAGCTGACGAGATCCGGGGTTCGATTTTTTTTCGGTTTTCGGCAGGCTCGCCAACAAAGAAGAGCGCGAAAGAAGCGCGAAAGAAGCGAGAAAGCCGATCTCTCGTCCCCTTGCTGAGTGCACTTGAGAAATCGCACAATGGTAGGGAATAACTTGGGCATGGTGTACAGGACAGCATGCAAAGACCAAAGAAGTTTACAGGCAGCCCAGGGTTCGATTCCACCGCCTCTTTAGCTCGAGAACATCTATTGGGAGATGAGCTGGAGGCAGTTCGGGGGCTCGATTCCTCGCGCCCGAATGGTGCAACTTCTGGCGTGTTTTTGGAGAGATGCCATTTTTAATTCAACGAGCTCTAGAATTACGCGCAGGACTGCGTAAGGTTTGCCTTTGCCTTTGCTTTTGCTTTGAACCGGGACCCAGGAAAATGTACTCAAATCAATTGACCATCTCGCTTGGCAGTCTTTGTAATTCCCACTGAGTTGAATTCATTTAGCCTCAGCTGAACAAGAGGCAAGTAACTCGGACATGGTGTACGGCACACGTCCTCTTCGGCTATGATTTCTGCGGATGCAGTTTAAGAGGGAGTACGGGGTTCGACTCCCCGTGTTCGAATAATATGGAGGTGTCGGTTCTTTTTGTGCTTAGTGAGGGATGGAGGATGGAGGCGCGTGTCTGGGGGCGAACTCATCCCCAGTCGGGTGTCAAGCGAAGAGTTGAATTTAATTAGAATATCCGAATCCACCACAGCAGGAAAGTAGTTCAAAATTTCGCAAGCGATCGGCGGCCGTAGCTTGAGTGTCTTTTTTCTTAATTGAGAGCATGTCGGATAGGAGGGCGAAGGTATGCTGAGGGAATTCGGGGATTTATTGATGGTGACGAAGACTGTTCATTAATGGATCAATGACAGCGCGGGACGGGTTCAATATTGGACAAGTGTGACTGATATTCACCTGCCGGTGCGCGATATACACATGCGTTGGCGAAAGACGGCTTGTATCTCGTTCTAAAATTCGAACCAAACCGATCCACAGCGTCAGGCAGGGCGTCGTGGAGAGGGCAATGACCACAGAATGAGACGCCTGAGCGAGTACTTGATCGGTGCGGTGCATGATGGTCGCCAGCGGCGGTAGTAGGCTTTGGTTATGCGGCGGGAATCGGGAATAGCCAGGGAGAGGAACCCGGATTGACGCTGGTTCAGAGCCTGTTGAGGTTTTGTGTGTACCGGCAGTAGGTTTCCCCGTGAACCCTCAAACGCAGCGGCCTGGAGGCTTCGCCAATTTCCCTGGGGCTATGCTAGAAAGTAACTCAGACATGGCGTATGACACACAGCCGTCGGTCTCTGGCTATGCAAATACTCGTTGCGATCTTCAACTAGAGGCAGCCCGGGGTTCGACTCCGTGTGCGAAACTTATGATCCTTTAAAAATTATTTGGTTGAATAAAGTGGTTTTTCAAGTCTGAGTGCACGGATATATGGACGTCGATAAATTCAACCCTATTTGGTTGGCAGTTTAATTTCTGAATTACCAGTCTGAGGTTTGACTTTCTGTGCGTCCAAATAGCGGAGCTGCAAATATTGCGCTAGTTGGGGTTAGACACCGTAACCGTGAACAGTAAAGCACGGTGGTCCGTAGAGCCGCGCAGCCGTTACGGCCGCGTTCACTACTACGGCGGGATCATGATTGCCGCTTGATCCGCCATAAAATCAATTGACGGCCGTCCCTCGGACTGTAACAATATCACCGTATGCTTTCAAGTTTCACGCTCAGCCGTATACGGGACGCTGTCCAGCCCTAATTTTAGCATTTTACGATTGATGCTTCATGTGGGGGATTGGAAGCTTCAGAAAATAGGACAGAATCAAACGTTGGATGAATATTTTCGTCGCACATACACCAGTCCGAGCCTACTTATTCACTTAGCAATGCCACAATGGTAGGGAATAAATCAATCGGATATAGTGTACGGTACCCCGCCTTTGTATCTGAGCACGCAGATAGCGAAGAAGTTTCCAGATCGGGGTTCGATCCCTCGTGTCCGAATGCAATGACTTCAAGGACCAAGGCTTTTATTTTTGGAAAAGGAAATATAACGACAACGAATGGTGGTCACCCTTCAGCCGGCTAGAGATATTCACAGGATTGGTTTGCTTTCCAACTCACCCTTGAGGAATCAGACTCCAATATTAACCACCAACACCAAGTTGGTGAACCAGTGCTTTTGGGTGAACTGAATATTCACTTGAGCAATTGCACAACATCGGACATGATGTATGGTACACGGCCTTTCCAACTATTGCCGTAATCGTCTTGTCAAGAGGCAGTACGGGGTTCGATTCCCCGTGTCTGAATAAATACATTTTTTCTTCAGAAGATTCGAGCACCACTTGGAATCGTGTTCGCAAGGTTATCTCCTTCAATTAGCTGACGAGATCCAGGGTTCGAATTTTTTTTTCGGTTTTCGGCAGGCTCACCAACAAAGAAGAGACCCCTGATCCCCTTGCTGAGTGCACTTGAGAAATTGCACAATGGTAGGGAATAACTTGGGCATGGTGTACAGGACAGCATGCAAAGAGCAAGGAAGTTTACAGGCAGTCCAGGGTTCGATTCCCCATTTCTGAATGCGTGCTATCCAATGATGCACTCGTTTTTTGAACAGAAACCCTAAGAAGGGCACTTTTCAAGGAACTCAAGAGGTACGACGTTACACGCCGAATTCAGTTATTTTTTGGGGGAGATTTTCCCCAGTTTGCGTTGAATGATGGCGGAACTTGAAGAAATTACACTTGGGCGAGTCAACAATGGCAGCCACCTATATATCCCTTTTCCCAGCTTGAATTGTACAATGGGGAGGGATATGTAGCTCGGACGTGGTGTGGGGTACACCGCTTGTTTGGCTTCCCAACCTGCGGAGTCAGTTCGGGTTCGACTCCCCGTGTCCGAATGGAGCAAATTGCGGGAGAAATGCCATTTTTAATTCAACGAGCTCTAGAATTACGCGCAGGGCTGCGTGGGGTTTGGCTTTGCTTTTGCTTTTCTTTTCAATTGGGACTCAGGAAAATGTACTCAAATCAAATGACCATCTCGCTTGGCAGTCTTTGTAATTCCCACTGAGTTGAATTGATTTAGCCTCAGCTGAACGAGAGGCAAGTAACTCGGACATGGTGTACGGTACATGTCCTCTTCGGCTATTATTTCGGCGGAATGCAGTTTAAGAGGCAGTACGGGGTTCGACTCCCCGTGTTTGAATAATATGGAGGTGTCGGTTCTTTTTGTGCTTAGTGAGGAATGGAGGATGGAGGCGCATGTCTGGCCCAATCTTGGGGCGAACTCATCCCCAGTCGGGTGTCAAGCGAAGAGTTGATATATCCGAATCCACCACAGCAGGAAAGTAGTTCAAAATTTCGCAAGCGATCACCAGGCGTAGCTTGAGTGTTTTTTTTCTTAGTTGAGAGCATGTCGGATAGGAGGGCGAAGGTACGCTGAAGGAATTTCATTGATGGTGGTGAAGACTGTCAGTTCATTAATGGATCAATGACAGCGCGATACGGGTTCAATATTGGACAAGTGCGACTGATATTATTCACCTGCCGGTGCACGATATACACATGGGTCGGCGAAAGGCGGCTTGTTTCTCGTTCTAATATTCGAACCAACCCGATCGACAGCGTCAGGCAGGGCGCCGTGGAGAGGGAAATGACCACAGAATGAGACACCTGAGCGAGTACTTGATCGGTGCGGCACATGATGGTCGGCGGCGGCGGCAGGCTTTAGTTATGCGGCGGGAATCGGGAATAGCCAGGGAGAGGGACCCGGATTGGCGCCGGTTCAGAGCCTGTTGAGGTTTTGTGTCAGAGAGACTTTCACCCGCAGTTGTGGTCTATCATGGTGATCGATATTGTCGAGGAAGGACCGATTTAATGGGAACAGGATGGGATTTGACCTACCAGTTTGGGCGGGTGTGCGGGCAAAATTTGAACGACGACGCAGTGCTAATATCTCTCGACAAGATCCCGAGGAAGAGCCAGGAACAGCAAAAAAAGCATCGGCCAGTCGGGATGCGGAATTGCGGTCGTACGAGACGGCGGGCTTTCGCTCTTGCGTCGATTCGCCGTCATTATTTTGATCGCATCCGCCGCGCCGAGTCTCTATCTTCGACGTTCTCGTCGCGCCGCAAGTTAAGGGAATCCACAACACGGAGGCAACTAGACTCGTAACCAGTCTGTCTACGGGAAAGCAACCTACTGTGGCGTGGCACGGTTGTCGTAGACAGACTGGTACATCTCGGGGCTCGGCTAAGGGCTGAGCCCGGAGTTTGAATTTTAGTGGTTTCCCACGCTGAACGGCTAGAAAGATCGTTGATTCCGAGTTCGATTTTGAACCAATCCTTTCATTTCAAGCTTTGGATACAAACGATTAATTCATCCCTTCAGGTCATCTACTCAAAACTACATTTTGGGGCACGAAAATCCCACAAACGCAGAGGCAGTTTCAAAAGGAAGAGAGCGTGGGAACTCGCTTAGCGTTTGCCGAAGCCATCGCGTCATCGAGTTTACGCGGCTACAAGCGGTTTTAGTGTGGGAAACCACTAAAATTCAAACTCCGGGCTCAGCCCTTAGCCGAGCCCCGAGATGTACCAGTCTGTCTACGACAACCGTGCCACGCCACAGTAGGTTGCTTTCCCGTAGACAGACTGGTTACGAGTCTAGTTGGTCAGTCCCATTTAGGTTTAGGCAGGCGCTCAATCCTTTTTCCCGACCGTGCATCTTGTCTTGAACCCGCCACACGACAATACGACAATGCGACAATCTCTACATCCTATCGAAATCTTTGCTTGCTATCCGTGGTCGCTACCCTTTCTTGGACCGAGCTACACTTGCTTGAAGGACAGCTACAATGGCCGCCCCAATCCAGCAAACCCAACAACTCCCGCCCTGGCTCTTCGCCACGTCAAGCACACCCACCCACTGGTTATATTTGAGCATGGGAGCATATACAGCGCTCAATCCATCCGTGGCGCTGCCGGCCATTTGATTCCTCTTCCTTTCGCCCGTTTTGGGCCCGCCTGCCTCTACCTCATTGCGTGGCCGTGGCCGTGTCTATTCTGCTACTCTTGCTCTCCTTCCTTCTCTTTCTCTATCTCTTCTTCTGCCCCGCACTGGGCGTTTGTATCCGTTGGGGAGCGGGACCAGGAAAGGGGAGCGAGATCAAGATTAAGATACAGAGCTCACAGGACATTAATGCGGATCGGAGTCCATTCGAGATGAAGAGCGACAAGCGTATCCAGACGACACGGGCGGACGTGGACGCGTTTCGAGTACATAGCAGGGCTTTGGGGGCGCGGGTCTATAGTGGTGTGCTAGTGCTGTATGGTATGCTCCTACCTCATACCCTTCCCCGCCCACCTCTTACCTCCCACCCTCCTCTCCTTGCGCATCCTGCATCCAAATCTGACTCACTGCTCCAGACGTCGCTGGATATGTGTATGATTGTGCGTATGAATGTACTCGTACTCCAAGATTAGACGAAGAGAAGACGATTCTGGTTCCGATGTCGTTGGTGGTGCGTGCATGTTTTTTTCTCCAGCTGCGAGGCCTCGTTTCATTTGGGTTTCTCGTTTTGTCTCATGGAGTCATTTGTCTCGATTGTATTCGTTTGCGATGTGATGTGGCGATGGGGCGAGGGGAGGGGAAATTGGGAATATCCCACGGGAACTCAGAGCCGCAGCACTCTGCGCAGGGTGGAGGGGGGGGAAGTGTGGGTTGAGGAGAGGCATGAGGCACGAGATCGGACGAAGATAAGGACGAGCGGGCGGGCATTTGGTCGAGATAGAACGGCCGTGAATATGGGTGGTGCAGACCGGAACGGAGGGGATGCAGGCCCGGGGGAGAGAGAGGCGGGTGTGTGCCCGGGTGTGGATGTCTGCGCACGACGTAAATGGGGTGCGTACGTGCGTGCGCCGGCAGGATCAAGAATGGGCCGTGCGTGGGATGGGAAGCGGAGCCGCGGAACAGGCGGATACGACACGAGTTGCGGGTGTGGGGCTGGGAGGGGTGCGGACGGGGCGCGAGGCTCCTTGCGGGCGTCGTGCGGTGTAGATGCAGAGCCCATGACGACGTTGGGGGCGCGGATACGGATACGTGGAGGCGATGGACCCGTGCTCCTGCTCCCTGCCCTCTCTTCTTGCGACGTTCACGGCGTCCGTTTCCGACGAACACAAGAATGAAATGGTTCCCGGTAGCGCAGAGTGCAGCAAATCTGTGATATTCATAGAAAGTCAACGTCCGAGATCAAGTTTAGTTTGCAACGCCTAACTGTACCCTCCGATTCCTTCGTTCATTCGTGCAAAATGGATGCCGTGAACATCGCAACCAGGTAGGGCCTCCGCCCTTTACCGTGGCAGCCGTTTTTCTTGACTTCAAACATCTGATGGGACGGGACGGGCGATAGGACGGCGGTGACGGCCGTAAAAACGGTAACGGGTTGCATCCGATCTGTTTTCCTATTCATGTCACATTTTACTCTTTTACTCGCACATTGATCCATTTTAACTGTTGTATCATTAATTGAAAGTGATATCTTATTACCGTGCCAACTGACCCTTGTAACCACGCAAACGATGTGGGGTTGAACCTTGGCAATTCAGCAATCATCTGCCGGCTTTGCCGAAAATCCCACTAAAACATATTCATCCTCGGATTCTGGCTCCAAAAATGTGGTAGTACACTCAAAAGATAGTCTCCTCAAGCTGAATGGATCCCTGCACAAAATAATGGCCTCTTTGGTTTGAAACCTCAAATCAAATCGCCCGTTTTAACGGCTGTCACGGCCGTCATTCGACAGGCCGTTAAAAAATCCTCAATGGGACGGGCACAGGTGGAAGCCCTACAACCAAGGTCCATGGACTACCAAACGGCACAAGTCATCAACCCAGTCCCCTCTTGTAGGAAATATGTATTGGTTCACTGCACGCATTCGCGTCTAGGAATTCCAAGGAGCGTGTTCAAGCATGTTCAATTTTGGGCATGCTGCTGTCAGCGCCACAAGACCAGAAGCGGCCCAGACCGCCGAGACCGGATCACAGACAAGGTGTGGGTTGTAATGCTCCCCGACTTGGACAAACTTCGATTTGAGGCGGGTGGATATTGTCTTCCGCCGATCGAGGGTAGGACAGATTTGAAAAGCCCTCATGGGCTGGAACAATATAAATACCTGTTTAAACCTATGTTTTCTCCTCAGTTTCTCCTCTACCGCCCAGCTCAGGTTTGTGTCTACCTCATCCCCAACGCTTTCCTTCCGTGACATTCTGCCTGTGACTGACTTCTTGTCTTTCCTCAGAAGCTTCGCAGCTCCAACAAAATAAAGCTTACCGTCCTCGCTCTCTTTGCCTCTGTCGCCCTGGGGCAGTCTGGAATACCAATGACCTTCTTCTCCGGTCCCGGCTGCACGGGCTCCATCATCGAACAAGTCCAAGACATCCCGGTCGGCGACTGTGTCATCTTCGGCGAAGGCCTCCCACCAGCTCTGTCGATTGGCTACGCTGGCGTCCCAAGCGAAATCTTGTTCTTCGAGACGAATGGGCCCCCTAACAGCTGTGCCACCACTCCGGCCATGACCGCCGGCCCTGGGAGCGGATGTGCGACCGCGCCCACCGGGTATGCGTCAGCGAGATAGTTGATTGAATAAGGTTGAGCTGACTCCTGAGCGCAGGTTTTGGTGGGCAAGCACTGTGTACAATTGAAGAGAAGCAGCCCACACTCAGGGTTTCTGTTTTTAATTAAATCGGATTAAAAAACCGGTTTACAGCCGTTTGCGGAACTTAGGGCGCCATCAATTTTGTGACTCTACTGGACAATTCCATGGCTGCGAGCAACACCAATGCGAAGAGGCCCGAGCGTGACGTGACACCCCCCGGGGCGTTGCTATACCAAATGCCCCAGATGTTCCTGTGTGATCTCCGCGCTTCTCCAGCTAATTGGGGAGAAATTATAGAGGCACTTTAGGGATTGACTCCTGGTGTCCGAATGATGTTTCTGGCCTGTGATTTGTATTTTTACTCGGAGCTATGAAATCCGAGCTCAAGGGGTTCACGTTGACGAAGTTTATGCAAGGGTTTGCCTTTGAACCCTGTGAACTTTGGACTCAAATCAAATGAGCTTGTTCCTTTTGTTCAAAATGTGATGTCCTCGAAGCCTTTTTTGACAGAACATATTCAACATGGCCCTCTGGGCACCCCTGGAACCTGCACGTGGGGAGGTGTGCGGACGAACGGGCTTAAACCCTAATAAGGAAATGTTCGCGTTACCATATCGGGACACGGATTTTCAAAAAACTTGTCGGAGACCTGAAACCTAAAGGTTCCAGGAATATACACAATTTTCAATGTTAATGAGGTCAGGAGTCAAGTATATTGCTTTTCTGTGGCTTTGAAGTCTCAAGTTTGCAACTCATTTTGATTTTCAACCATGGCTGAAGAAATTCGCATTTGCACTGGCGACAACTTGAGGAATCCCCACACTGTAGGAAATAACTCGGATATGGTGTAGGCTACACAGCCTTGTCTACCTGGTTCCTGGTGAATTTTGAAGACTTTACATAGAGGCAGTCTGGGGTTCGACTCCCTGTGTCCGAATTGTGTCCTTCCAGGTGATATTTCTTTTTCAAATCTTCTTTTTGGTTGGAGAAAAACACATCAGATCCATCATTGAGCTGCCTACTATTAGCATTGCATGCTGGGTTGATTTGATTTTCAAGTTATTACCCTTGAGGAATCGGACGCGAATCATTCGACTGAAAGAAAGCAAGGTCAGTGTTAAACAATGATTTCTGGCTGAGGTGAATGCATCTGAGGAATCACAGCACTATAGAAAGTAAATCGGATATGGTGTATGGTACACCGCCTCTGGAACTAACTGAGTTGGCTTGCTAAAGCCCGGGTTCGACTCCCTGTGTCCGAATGCGTATCACCGATTGGTTGGAGAAAAATACAATGGAAGGTCATTCATCTATCATTCACCTAGCTGAAATTACGTGCAGGGTTGATGCTTTGCGAGCTCGAGTTATCCTTGAGGAATTGGACTCAAATCAGCTGAAAGCAAGGTAGTGAGATTTCCGGCTGAGGTGAATGCATTTGTGGATGAGCAGGACCGAAGGAAGTAACTCGGATATGGTGTACGGTACACCGCCTTTGCAATTGATATCGGTAGGAACTTTAGAGGCAGCCCGGGGTTCGACTCCTCGTGTCCGAATGCATCTGTTCTAAAACCTCTTTTTTGGGTCGGGGGCGAAATTGGTTCGACAGTGCAAGTTGAGGCGAGTTCAGAATTTGTTATACGTTACTTGATTACTGGATGGATCAGTGAATCAACAATGGTTCTTGAGGCTACTTTATACTCGGATTCACCCGTCTGCAATGAAACTGGATCCGGTTTTGAGGCACTGTATCTCGGACATGGTGTATGGTACACAGCCTCTTGCTGTTCGCGAGTTTTGTGAGGAGTTTAGAGGCACTCCGGGGTTCGACTCCCCGTGTCCGAATATGTCTTTCGGAATCTACTTTTTTTGGGTGGAAGGGCGAATTAATGAATGGATTGAGAGTGGGCGACGAAGCCGTCTCATTATGATGCGAATAACAGATTATTGAAGCGTTTAATGTGCTCAGCTGCGAGCACGTCGGGCTCGGACGTTGGTCGGGGAAATTCGGCTTGTCGTTGTCGGACTTGGGATTAGATTTTGCATTATTTGACAAAATAAATTCGGGATTAGAGGATCTAGATGTCCAGTCGGGCACTCGAGCCCGACACAGTCAACGGATGGGATTGGACGTGAGCTGACGCGGATTTTCGAGTGGGCAGTGGGTATTGATCGGTCCGGGCGCGGCGGTAGGTTTTTGAGTTCTCGTTTTAGTGCTGCGGCGAGACGAGGCCTAGGGGGTGTGAGCTGATGAGAGGCGGACGTTTGCGCACGCGGCCTGCCTGTGATACTTCGTTCACGCTCGAGGAGTTCCTATCTTTTCGAAGCAACAGATATCAGAGATTGTCGACGGAGCCAGGCACGAGATGGAGAGATCGCGAGTTTCACTCGATTGGCTGAGCATATAGACGGGCGTAAAAGCATGGAGAAAAACACTAATTGCAGGTACTTAATTGCGACCGAGAACAGCGCCGCAAAGATCCAGCCGGTCGAAATGCGAAATTGCGGGATGTCGGGATCAGAACAGATTGAGTGCATGATCAGATCCAGTGCGGCGAAACGGCGGGCCTCCGTCTTGCCTTCTATTACTTAGCGTCCACTATTGAGCATTCAAGAAAGCTCACCGCCGCGTCTTTGACCTCGAAGTAGTCCACCAAGGCCCAGACCCTGCCGGCAACACGCGAGGGACCCACGTGATCCCAAGTTGGTCAGTCCCGTTTAGGCAAGTGGTCAATCGCCTTTCCTCTCCCTCCTCCCTCCTCATTTATTCTTCTACCCGCGCACCCAATCTATCTTCAATCCGCTACACGAAAATATGATGACAATCTCTCTTTCCTTCCTTTGGGACACATACGAAATCGAAAACCAAAACGAAATACAGCCTATCCATCTTTGGGGAGACCGACGCGCACTTGCCTTGCTTGCTACATCTGCTTCGCCTGCTTGCTGCCTACTCCCTTGAAGGACAGCTTCAATGGCCTTACCAACGCAGCAAACCCAAGAGCTCCCGCCCTGGCTCTCTGCCACGACGGTCACACTACCGCAGACGACTGAGACGAGCCTTTGAGACGGAGAGCGACAGGCGTATCCGGGTGGACATAGCTCGAGTACATAGCGGGGCTTTGGGGGCGCGGGTCTGCAGCGGGGTGCTAGCGCTGTATGGTATGCTGTCCTCCCTCACACTCCTCCCGCCCACCTCTTGCCTTCCACCCTCCTCCCCTTGCGCATATCTGACTCACTCCTCCACAGACGTCGCTGGATATGTGTATGATTGTGCGTATGAATGTATTTGTACTCCAAGATTAGACGAAGAGAAGACGGTTCCGATTCCGATGTCGTTGGTGGTGCGGGCATATTTTTCTCCGGCTGCGAGGCTTCGTTTCGGTTTTTTGATTGGGTTCGTTTGTGATGCGATGCGGCGATGTGGCGAAGAGAGGGAAGGGGAATATTCCAGGGGAACTCGGAGCTGCAGCACTCTGCGCGCGGTCGAGGGGGGAAAGTGTGGGCGGAGGACGAGCGGGCGGGCATGCTATCGAGATGGAACGGCCGTGAATATGGATCCCCGCGACTGGAACGGAGGGGATGCACGCCCGGGGGATAGAGAAGCGGGGTGTGCGCCCGGGTGTGGAGCCTGGAGGTGCGTGCGCAGGCAGGAGCAGGAGGAGGCCGTGCGCGGGATGAGGAGCGGAGCCGCGGAAGAAAGAGTCTGATGCAACGCGAGTTGCGGGTGTGAGGCGGGGAGGGGTGCGGGGGAGCGCAGGGTTCCTTGCGGGCGTCGTGCGGTACAGATGTAGATGCTGAGTCGCCGAGACCCATGACGACGTTGGGGGCGCGGACCGGGATACGGATACGTGGAGGCGATGGGCCCGTGCTCACTGCTCCCTGCCCTCCTTATGACATTTCGCTGCTGGGTTGCGGGGCACGGGAGTCGTCGAGTCTAGGCGTGGATGTCGGCGAGCATCCCGGAGGGAGCGAAACGGCGTGTGCTGCGGGTGCCTCCCTTCCTCTCGTTTTCCTTTTTTGGCAATGACGATGACGAGCCCTGCATATTGCGAGTGCGAGCAAGGCACCGCCCTCCCGCCTTTTCTCTCTCTCTTTGATTTCGTCTCAGATGGAGGGGAGGGGAACCCGAGTGCGGAGAGTGGTGAGGAAGCGGGAGGTGGGGCCGTGGAGATCGTGATATGGAGGTGGAGGGAGGGGAGGGGGGCGCGGGTGTGCGTGTGTGGATGAGGAGGGGATGCATGCATCCAGGCGCGGGGAACCTGGTGCGACGACGGGAGCCCTGATGGTGTGGAGTCGAGTCGATGGGGACCATCCATGTGATTTCTTCCTCTCCAGGGGCCCGTACTTTGCTGCAGACGACCGAGACAAGTCTCGTGTTACTCCCGCTCATGTACTACAGGCCCAGCATCCAGTTCGACGCCGACTTGACGGGTGGCGGGTTGTCCAGTCCTGTGGCGTCGAGTGCGCGAAGAGTGCGCTTTCGACGCCCAAACCACCCACGCCTCTTCAACGGCGGCCTCGGTGTGGTCCTCGGTGCGAGTGCACCTGCGCTCCCCGGTCGTATTTTGACTGTTGGTGTGCGCGCGGCTGCGTACATGAACACGGAGACGGGATAGTACCGATGAGTCCGTCTAATTTCCTATTTCATTTCATGCGGCTTTTTCGCTTTTTCGCGGTTCCTCTTCTGCCTTCCTCCCCGCCCGGCCAGTGCGGGTGGCGTCGGGAGGAGAAGCGGCGACACCGGCGCTGGCAGGCACCCCTTTCCTATGGCACCGTGTTGCAGACGCCGACGGTCCGGGACGTGCTCGAGGCACGCAGATGCGAGTCGAGGCGTCGATCTTATGATACGAGACGAGACAAAATACTACGAACTTGGTACAGAAGCGAGCTCTCTGGGCCGGGGCTGAGATGCGAGGGCGAATTAATATTCTGCCTGAGAGTGGCCAACACTTCTATCTGCAAGTATGTACCCTACCTTTCATGGAGGTCGCTGATTGTTGCGATCCACTCAGTGATGCAATCTGTACTAATATCATCTTGCTGGTATTCGTGAAGCTGCCCAACATTCTGGCACAATCCCCGGTTTCGCTCTCGTTAACGCGATGGCGTGCTTGGTCTTCAGCCAAATCAAATTTGGACTCCTAACATCTGATGGAACGGTACGGGCAATGAACACATCGGTTTTCCCCTCGGTCTCCCTTCATCGGCGTCGTCCCGACCTTACGGACACGGAATCCGGATCAATCGCGCTAGCCGTTCGAGCTCAGAAGCAGACCGAACAATTCCAAGATTGGGTGGAGAACTCCAAAACAACCCCATTGGCGTAGTGGTTCAGACAATTGTAACCCCTACCTCTGTCGATGTAAAAGGATCAAAATTCAACATATTTCTGAATGAATTTATTTTGATCTCGGTTGGCGGTGACGAGGAACCACAGCGGTGAGGCCATTACGCACGTGGGACTCGAGGGGAGCTCGAGCCCAGTTACCCTCCGTCCACAATTCTGAACCCCACCACCCCAGGCTCCGGTCTGATTCTGGGTGTGTTATTCCTGTTATTGAATGGTAGTGTCGCGGCGAAAGGATTGCCGCTACTACTATTACGAAAATCCCGGACAGCTGATAGTTGGCAGTATTGCATCTAATAGTTCACAAATTTAACACCACCTGGGCTCGGGTGAAATGATCTCAGGCACCTCGGGCATCTCGGAGATGTTCGAAGACGACGTTTATTCTGGTCCATGATGAATTATGTTCCCTGCTAATCAATGGTCCATCCAGAGGCAGAGTTCCTGCTCAAATCGAAATGCAACACCAATAGTTATCTATGCAGTCGGACTCAACACATGAAGATTTATCGACTAGTCTGATTATGGGAGACCCAGTCACTTCCGGTCCACAGGATACCGCCTGTCGCACCATCCGCGAACGATCATTCGAAATCGAAAGAATTTCGCCCGATGTAAATACATCAAGGGCAAAGCCAGCATTCCCAACTTCCAGGTCAGAACAGCGCGAAAAATTCACTTACCAGCCAGCCAGTCAGTCAGGGTGCACTCGCCCCTGCGCCGAAGAAACTCCATCGCAGCCATTGCTCAGAGGATCACTGCATTGCTTGAAGGATCGGAAGAGTATGACTAGTAAGAAAGACGGAATCAGCACCGCGGAATCAATTTACTGCAAGTCTTACTTACCTCCAATGATACTAGTGCTCGTAATTTGAATTCGTTGAAACTCAGAGAAGCCGCGGGCTGCAGACAAATCAGACGCAAGACACGGATTAGGTCCTGGAAGGCTTACCCAAGTAAATATTGTATATTAAATTGCAGAAGAAGGGAGGTCGGGTGACCCGGTCGGGTCGATCTAAAATGGCATCGAGTCATCGGAGGAGAACGGAATCAGTCGAGGGAGCGGTAAGTACTGCGTAAGAACGAATGTTTCGAGCGTCGTCCGCGCTCGCGGTGGATGGTGGTGTTCCGGCAGCGGCAGGTTGGTTGCGTAGCGGAGCTGCACGTATATTTCTGTGTCTGTAGTGTACCCTGATGCAGTTTTACAATGGAATTCGCTCTTGTGCTTGCAGAATAGTGGGTGAACTTTTCAATTTTTCGGAATCGGGTTTGACACTTGTGAGATATATCTCGGATATATAAACGGCAGCACTCTCCAAACTCGTCCAACAAACTCCCAAACCAAAAACATCCAGACAGTTGAAACTTGCCGCAATCGCCACTTTTGCCCTCGCGTTTGTGACGCAAGGAGCAATGCTCATCCCCGAACGCCAGACAGAGTAATGTTGTCTGCCGGAGGGGTATCCCTGCCAAGCTCTCGTCGTTGATCTCACTC